AGTTTATAGATTACCAGTAATTCCAGGCATTTAGATTGAATGACTGATTGTTTAATTCCGTGATCTAATATTGTCAAGTTTATTTATTTTATTTTGTTGCGTATGAAGACATTGCACATGTCATATTTTCTAAAGAACAAATTAAAATTTATTTCCTGTTTCGTTTTGTTTCCTGTGTTTGATGTATTTTTCGTAGGGATGTCAAAATATTTATTTTCCTTAGTCGATTATTCGATTGCATTATTCGAACGATAGTTGAATATTCGGAACATTTTCTGAAAAAAAAAAATTCAAACGTCACTGCTACATGACGTATTCATAACTCAAAAACCCTTTTACTTAAATATATTTAAAAAGTACCATCAAAAGTAATACAACGTAACGCGTGGATAGCATGATTATATGAAATAAATTTAGAAACCTAATTCTCCAAAATGTATGATTTCAGCAGAAATCAGTAATCGGTCTGTACAGTCATGCAGTCAGTTTTTATTTTGGTAAGCATTAAAAAATTGACAGCCGATATTTTTTAAATCTTATTTTGAAATAAAGGGGGGGGGGGGGTAACCTCACACTTTTTACACGTCAGGTGCCTATGAAATTGTTAAACAGTTAGATACTGCTTATTCAATTATTCATTGCTCTGGCTATCAAAATGTCCTTAAACAGTTTAAAATGTAAGCGAATTGTTTTGATAATAATTGTAATAATTATCGAAGTGTCAAAACATGTCACAGCTATGGTTTGTTCCTTGCATTTGAGCTATCTTAAGATAACAAAAGATAATTGGTAAATGGTATACGTCCATTTAATATTCTTACAAACAAAGCCCAGTATATTAGTAATTTATTACAAAAACAACACAGGCCGTTACTGGCAAATACTTCTCGCATTAGTGAAGCACTTATAAGTACATAACAGTATTTCTATACGTACAGGGAAAATCAACCGCTTTTTTGTTTAGAAAAATTATCTTATCGGCTGTCTCTGAGGAAAGACATTTTCTCAGTTTCTACCACATTCGACAAGTTTTAAAAATAACTAAACTTCATGTTTATTTTTTAACACATTTTTCACCATATATGAATAATAACAAAAAGTGATAACCATGAGTAATAAGTATCACAGATTACAGAAAAGACAGGGAATTATAAAGTTTTAGTTCCCTGTCACGTGACGTACTGTCTAGAATCAATCAGATAACGCATTTTAGCATATTATAATGAGGTTTAAAGCGATATAACCTAAAATAAACTACAGACTCTGAAGGGAAAATCTACCCTGTCTATCCAATACTATAATAATAATAAAAGAAAGTGTCTCCAGTCTCTATGGATGATTAATTAAAAACAATGCAGCTCAAGACTTAAGCTAAGACGCGAATTGGATTTTTTTATTTATTTATATGAACCAAGCCCCCCCCCCCCCCCCTCACCCCAGCTAAACGAAAATCCTTTTAACAAGACATCTCGTCATCAATTTCCACACAAACACATACAGGTAAAATAACGTCGCTTGCATCAATCAAAATGCAACCAAAACATTGGCGGGTTCTTTGAATGAAAATTTTCATGGTAAACTGACATTAAAATATTTTCTTCAAAAAATACGCTCCTCCCCTTTCCCCTCAGGAATTGCAGGATTGCATAGATACACCATAGGAGGAACTGATGATTTTACTAAAGATTCTTTACCTTTATTAATATACACTGTATTAATTTTTAAAAATGTATTTTAAAAGTTTACATGCATGTACACATGTAGATATTAAATTTATTTCATTTTATATCATTTTTCAACCTGCTTTTCCCTTTGTTGTTTTTGTATGTTTGTTTGTTGTTTTTTTTTTAATTTTATTTTTTTTCCCTTACGAAAACGTCGGTATTCTATATCGATGAGAAATACATGTACTCACCAACTGAGGAATAATTTAAATTTAACGTGAAAGGGACACCATACATTTTTAAGTAAAAAATACATAACACAGCGTTAGTCGTTAAATTTCTTCAAAGTTTTACATTTTGTGAATAATGCACAGGTTAAGAAATTAAGCTTGGGGAATAATTTATAGGGAAATAAACACAGACGACATGGTAGTTATTTGTTTTTAGAACTTGTACTGAAAAATAATGACGCCACCGTGCCTTCTTTGCTACCCCAGCAGTGTTTGTCGTGTGATTTTAAACTTGTCAGACAACCATTTAAATTGAGTTCAATAAAAATAAACTCCCAAGATACTGATGTACAAGGAACACTAACTGACAAAATGCGCCGTTGCTTTATTTTTCTGTTTTTACAGAAAGTTGCACGGTATACCCGATTTCGCGGATTCAACGATACCCTGATATCGAGGACTATACGCGATTTCACGGATAATATCCGATTTCGAGTATTCTCTCCAACCTGTTGAAGACATTATATATAGACAAATACAATTTCAGAGAGAGAGAGAGAGAGAGAGAGAGAGAGAGAGAGAATAAAAACACAGTTACTAAAATAGCGATTTAGTTTGAATCGTTTTGAATACATTATTATAATGCTTTAAACTTATTGATTGACTTTTTCAGTAATTCTCAAGTGTTGATTTTCTCAGTTAAATTAGTATAGCATAAAGTGACCGAGCATTTTTTTGGTGTGTGTGTGTGTATTTTTCTTTAATTCAGGGGGGGGGGGGGATGTTAAATCTGAATTTATTAAATAATTAACTGTTCATGTTTTTATTTTAGCTGTAATAATGTAGCCCTCTCCGATATTTTTTATCTGATATTTTTTGGAGAGGATCCCCCCCCCCCAAAAAAAAAGGGAGGGGGCTACATCATTGCAGCTAGTTTTATTAAACCACCAATCCTTTTTTCATTATGTTACCATGAATATTTTTTAAGATACAAAATACGAAAAAAAGGTGGAATTTTGTGAAGTCTCTTTCAAATTTTACTAGGGTGAGTTTACGTACATGTATGCTTAAAATATTTATTTTAAATCATAATACGATCGGTATATTTATTTAAAAATTTTGATAACGCCCGATATTCGGACACTCGGAATGAATTGAGCCGTGAAGAACCGGGTCTAAAAAATTAATACAATGTATATTTTTTGTTTCCTATTAAAAGATCGGAAGTGGACTGGTGTAACTGAAAAATATATTAAAAGATAAATGGGCTTCGTTCAAGTATTGCAAGTTGATAATCAATCAACAGGAAGGATTAATTGCCAAAAATTAAGGCGATATATACTAGTATATGAATCTTTAAAGTTCTCTAGTGATCTAATGGAGGTCGATTTTCATAATTTGTGGTTGATCTATGCTTGAGTAGACCATCCATCAAAAAATGCAGTTTTTGTTTAATCTTGTATCAAAAGAAGCATGGAATCGGATACAAAGCTTACGGACTGCAGGTAACGTGGGATGTTAAGTTTTAAAAACTATGTACGATTCATGAGGCGAGTTGGGGAGGGGGGTTCCTTCATTTTGAAATGTTCCATTTGAGTTATTAAATATCTATATGTAAAAGTAACGAAAAACCAACCTTAGGAAATACTAAGCTCACTTAAAAAGTATGAGGAGAGAGTCGTGTATTTGAAAAAAAACTTAACCATGCCCCCTCCCCCTTTCCCCTTCATTCATATACATGTTTATACCCGATACACAAAATATATTTTTCAAGTTTGAGCTGGTTGCTTCTGACTCGTATCCCACTAAAAAAATTTTGAACTCGCCACCGATTTCTGAAAATACTGTAAATTGTATACAAGGGCAAACCGCTGTATGAGGCCGGAGAGGGCGTTAAATGTTTTAAAAATGAAAAAAAAATTACGCTTTAATACCATTATTCATTTTTTTTTCAAGTTAAACGAAAGAACATCGGTCACTGCACACGTTAAATCTAGAATGTGCATCCACTTCCTATAACTATGTAATTGTTGCATAATGCTTCAATATCATTTTTTTTCTTTAGGAAGAAAAACCCATAAAATTTCATACAGAATGCGTTCAGAGTACTTTTTTTTTTAAACAACGTATTTATCTTCCGTACATTGTAAATACATACCAGTATGCAAAATGGAAAGTTTACCAATGTCTCTTTCTTTTAAAAAATTACTTTGTCCCAGATCATGCGCTGAAACAGGATCTTCCTCGCCTTATTAAAATTTGTTGAAATTATACATAAAGCAGGTGCGATTTACGTCATTGATACAACGTAAACCCGCAATTTTTAATAACGTCACAACTATTGTAACGTCATTTACGTGTGACGTTACGTTTTTTGGCAATTCAAAAATTTACGTTGGCAGCGAAAGGGTTAAAGATTTATATGTATGAAAATTGACATACAGGAATCTAGAGCTTTGCATTGCATCATTCGTGTAGGTATATCACTTTAATTAAAAAAAAATTCAACATAAAAAAAATTGTCTATGTATACTCATGTATCATATACAATTATTACTGTTTTTGAGGTCAATTCGATGATTTAGCCACCTGAGGAGTAACATTCACCAGGGCTGGGACGATATATTGAGAATATCGATTCTGTGTGAGGACGATACGCATTTCGATACGTATGAAGAAATATCGAAATATCGAGAGAGAATATATTAATTTAGATCTTTATTCTATTTTCGGTGCGATGTTGAAAAAGAAATGTCAGGCACCTTTATAGGCAATTATTGCTGTTTTTTCTCTATAAAACAATTATTTTGATTTTAAATAAGGGGGTATCGTAATGAAAAAAAAGACAAATTATCTAAATCCTTGACATATATTTTTCAGACTGTTTATGTCTGGTAAACGCGAAAAAAAACCTTGAGTCTCAAACAGCATATTAAAACATGATTTATATTCAGTCAGTATTAATAGCATGCACGATGTTTTCCTGAAAGCCTAAGGACACTGAACTTTTGAATTACACCATTGTTGTAAGATCCACCACTAGATTTTAATTTATGCGGAAACGGAAATTCCAATCTTCGATGCGCAAAACTATTGCGCAGCTGTTCAAGAGTTCCAAGAGGCAAAGACCGAAATATAAAAAATAAGAAACAGAAGGTAAATTGTATATAACATGTTTGGATTTAGTCGTATTTAGTATAATAATGTTGAACACATTTATTTGCATTCACAGCGCATTTAACTTCTTGACAAACAGTTTAAATCCTGAAATCATTGAGGTGATTTATGCTAAACTAGGCTAAATCTAACTGAAGAGAGCAAATGAATTTGTGGTAATGAATAGTTTTTTTGTATCGTTGTGATATGTGCAATTGCCTTCCAGTGCAAATCCTTGGGCAGAAATATCTTGAAGAGCACATATCTAATATGTTTTTGAGAATAGAAGTTACTGATTTGAATGTCGCAGAATTCTGACAGAGTTGTCTTCCTTGGAAGGTGGGCAAAATTAAAAAAGAATGGGTTTACACCCTCGGATATTAGAATTTTCAACATATTAATTCAGGTCACTACATAAATTCTGTTTTTCCTTTGGTAAGTTGTCAGTAAGGTGTAAAATTAGGGTGGCTAATGGAAAAGTTGTCTTTATAATTTTCTGCATTAATATTTAACCAATGCATCTGAAACACAAAGTAACTTAAACAGAGACATAAACTCTGGCATTAACATGTTTACTAAATTATGTGATAGTCCCAGCATTATTCTAATCTAGCTGACCACAGGTCACCTTTTGCTATTTTAAATTTCTCATTTGTTGATTTATCGAATAAAAAATCTGATTAATTTCTTGATTTGAATGAAAGAGTAAGGTAAGTTATTCTTTGTTATTTGAAAAAAAAAATTTGATTTTTATGATGCGTAGGGACTGCTTGATCAGTGATCATAAGTAAAATGCAAACATCATCTCCGAAAAAAAAACAGCCTTCTTTCAACTTACCACTTAAAGTCCATTCCCAAGCAACTATAAGGCATACGTGGACCAAACTTGCATGGATGATGCATCTAGGGATGAACACTATCAGACTTGCTTCGGATGCTGGATCTGACCTACTGTCACCTACATTTTCCAGATGAGTGACCAGGTTAAAGTTTTTGGAGCAGGTCCATTCCCAAGAAATATTTTCCAAAAGAGTGACCATGGCAATGTTTTTGGAGTAGCTCTATAATTATATGGCCTGTTATGATTTAACTTGCATGGATGATACATCAAAGGATGGACAATTTCAGACTTGCTTCAGATGTAGGAAATGAAAGACATTTTCTTAACAAGTGAGCAGGTTAAAGTTTTTTGGAACAGATCAATTCCCAATGAGGCCAAAAAAAATAATAGTCTTGTTTCCTGCTACCAGCCTGAAAAAAATAGGGTAGGTAGGTAGGAAAATTATTTTATTTTATATTTTTATTTTATTATTTTTTTCCAACAGCATTTTTTGGATATGAACTAATACAAGATCAAATTAAACATGTCACAGGTCAGTATTGTCTTTTAAAATTAAATTTCATGTCTTGTTATGCACAACTCAAGTGGTATTTTATGAAAGTCCATATTTAAAACAAGAATTTCATGAAATGCTTGTTTTGTGTTAACACAGAAACCGATTACAGTGACAGAACGATGAAATTCCAGAAATTTCTGATTTTTTTTCTTCCAAAACTTAAAAAACATCTTTAGGGTCGGGTGCAAAAAAATAGAGTAGGTCGGGTAGCAGGAAACAAGACTATTATATTTTTTGGCCTGAATTACAAGATCTACTTACACAGAACTTGCATGAATGTCAGTCTATCCCAAAAGCACCGCTCCGTCGGACAGATCTGATGAAAATTGATTTGGTCCGATGATGAAGTTACAATATTCGGTCCGAATGTCCGAAGGCCTCTTCATTGAAATTTGTTTTTTTTTTACTTAATTTGATCGTATATAAACATGATAAAATACATGCAAACTCTTGTAAGCTCTGAAGTTCAAGGGACCACTTATCTCAAGTTCAAAAATTGGCATTTTCTCCCGATGGGTATGTAGATACATAAGTCAAACAGTTTTCCTTTCAGTCGAATGTTTTGAAGAAATAATTGCACCAAATTTACAGTACTACCAAACAACATATTCTTTATTATCTAAGTGTTTCATTTATATTTTATTTCATCTATTATTAGTAAATTGTATTAAAAATTTAATATGGTCGTACAAAAAATGAAAGTAGAAAGGCAGCGTATATAATGTAGATAAAAAAAAAACAAAACACCATTGAAAAAAGTTTCTCAGGTAATACCACAGAATAATGTATTTAACATAATATATTGCTATTTTATTTTGTTTCTTTTTTTATATATTATTGTTTGCCTAGCTTGCTTACGAAAATAAACACAGCAATAGGTCGCCAATCCATATAACGCACATGATGCAACTGACAATATAAATCTTTGAATGTCTTGGAAAACACCTAATAAAAATAAATGTCCTTGTTGATAAAAAGTTTTGGTCCGGCAAAAATTCATTTGATCCTGTAAAATGCATCAGACTGCCGGTCCGAATATTTTTTCGAGAACACTGGAATATTGTTTTCAGGATGCACACTAACTATAAAGAAAATATGATGTGAGATTTACATTACTTATTAGTGATGGGAATCGGTAAGAATTTCATAATCGATGATCGGGCTATTGTAACTAACTAATTATCAATTATAAACGGACATTTCCAAAGTCTGTCAGTTTAGTTTATTGAATGGTAAGAATGGGTGAATAACTACTTTCTGTGGTGGTCCACCTGTAGTTAGAATAATCTAACTGTGTCTCGGGACAAGCCTTAGTCTGTAGGACAATATCTATAGAACGTTCTATCTAGTCCAGCTGGTTCATCATTCATTTTGTAGAATCCAAAGTACGTCCATACCCGGGAATTAGCGTTGTTAACCGGGTATGAATAAAATGTCTGTTTGTCTGCGCCATTACGATGCTCAAATAAGTTAATAGATAAGTCGCAGCTGGAATATTCAGCTTAAAAACCATTATGCTTGTAAAATAAAATAAATAATCTGATTAATCAGAATAAAAATTTTGTAATCAAGCGCTTGGATTATGCCAACAATCGACTGATTTTCGATTATAATCGATGATTGGAACACCACTATTACTTATACTGATAACATTTGTCAAGTTGAGCTTTGTTATCTTTGATTAGGCCAAATAAAAAAATATGTGTGGTTCCGGTTACCCGACCGTCCCTATTTTATAACCCCGACCCTAAACTTTTTTTGGCAATTTTCATATTTTTTCCGGAATTTTCCCAGATTTCTATCAATGGCTCCAGTTTAAGTTTTAGTTTCAGCAATGACAGCCTCCTTGCAAATCATAGTATAAGTGTTTAATAGGATTAAATCCAAAGCAAGCTAGCATGTAGGTGTCCCCTACCAATATTGACTAGTATATTATCATACCACATCTAAATGCCACTTGCAAAGGAGTGATAGGTATTATTTAGAAAAATTAAGAAAATCATTTTGTTTAAAAAAAAAAACAAAAAAAAAACCTACCTACCTACCCTAATTTTTTTTGGAGGTGTAACCGGAACCACACATATTTTTTTGTTTGGCCTTACCTATGTTTTTTTTCTTTTTTGTTTTATATTTAAAATGAAACAAACTACTTCCAGACTTGCAATGAGACTCAGACTCTTAATAAACATGATAAACAGGGTTGTGGTTAACTTTTGAAACCTTAGGGGCCATGTGGGCTCCTAACTCTTCAAATTTTACGGGCCCACAATGTGATCCACGGGCCCACATTATATGTAAATTAAAAATAAGAACACAAAAATCCTAATTTTTTCTAATTTTTAGCTCACCTCAACGAAGTTGGGGGAGCTTATGTAATACCCTCGGCATTGGCGTCAGCGTCCCAGGTTAAGGTTTTTGGAGCAGTTTTCTTTTCAAGTACTTCTATGGCCTATATTAGTCAGAGATGCATGGAAGATGCTTCTAGTGTGTTTCATTGTACCAGTCAAGGTTTCAGATGCTGCAATTTCAGCTAAAGAATGACCAGGTTAATGTTTTTGGAGCAGGTTAAAGTTTTTGGAGCAGGTCTCATTTCCAAGTAACTATAAGCCCTATATTGACCAAACTTGCTTGGATGATACATCTAAGGATGCACACTACTGAACTTGCTTCGGATGCTGGATCTGACCTACATTTTCCGGACGAGTGACCAGATTAATGTTTTTGGAGCAGATCTCATTTCCAAGTAACTATAAACCCTATATTGACCAAACTTGCATGGATGATACATCTAAGGATGCACACTACTGGACTTGCTTGGGATGCTGGATCTGACCTATATTTTCCGGATGAGTAACCAGGTTAAGGTTTTTGGAGCAGATCTCATTTCCAAGTAACTAAAAGCCCTATATTGACCAAACTTGCATGGATGATACATCTAAGGATTCACACTACTGGACTTGCTTGGGATGCTGGATCTGACCTACATTTTCCAGATGAGTAACCAGATTAAAGTTTTTGGAGCAGATGTCATTTCCAAGTAACTATAAACCCTATATTGACTAAACTTGCATGGATGATACATCTAGGGATGCACACTACTGGACTTGCTTCAGATGCTGGATCTGACCTACATTTTCCAGATGAGTGACCAGGTTAAAGTTTTTGGAGCAGAAGTCATTTCCAAGTAACTATAAACCCTATATTGACCAAACTTGCATGGATGATACATCTAAGGATTCACACTACTGGACTTGCTTGGGATGCCGGATCTGACCTACATTTTCCAGATGAGTAACCAGATTAAAGTTTTTGGAGCAGATGTCATTTCCAAGTAACTATAAACCCTATATTGACCAAACTTGCATGGATGATACATCTAAGGATTCACACTACTGGACTTGCTTCGGATGCTGGATCTGACCTACATTTTCCGGATGAGTAACCAGATTAAAGTTTTTGGAGCAGATGTCATTTCCAAGTAACTAAAAGCCCTATATTGACCAAACTTGCATGGATGATGCATGAAGGGACGAACAAACTCAAAACTTGCTTTGGATGCTGGATTTGACTTACATTTTCTGAATGAGTGACTAGTTTTAAGTTTTCAAATAAGTCTATTCCCAAGTAACTGCAAGCCCTATCAGACCAAAATTGCATAAATGTTGCATCTAGGGATGCACACTCCTAGATTATTAGTTTAGTGTGGGACTTTGCCTTACTTAAAGACAACATTCGTTGAGGTGAGCTCTGTAATCTCTGATTACCTATGTTTTTTTTATTCGTAGTATCTATATGTTCGCAGTATATGGATTATTGTTGTTTTCTCCTTTCTAAAAACTTTGATCCGATAATATGTTCATTACATTTTGTAGTATTTAACCTTAACTTTATATACAAGTGAAGCGTCTATGGTTTAACAAGGGGGCATATTAAATGATAAATTACAACCTGTGATTAAGTTTGATCACGATCTTTTATTGTGTGCATTTGACACGGTAATTCAAATTCTATCTGTGAATAACTATTCGAATGGCGTGTGTGAGAACCATAGCTGATTGTTACAATATTTCTATTAGAACAATCTCAAACATTTGCTCTCGTGTCATAAGATTTAACGGAGATTTAACCGCTTCGATAAATCACCATTTTTTGATCTCAGTCATGTACATGTTTGAGTAATGTGCTTGTACGCAACACAAATAATCTAAGTTAGTAGAATGTTTTCTTAAAAACTGAAAGTACATAAAATAAAACTGAAATGTGATTATGTTCCGGTAAAAAATCATTCGCCATGTGGGCGACCAGATTTTTAATATGTAGCAGGGTTTTAAACTAACTTGTAATCCTTGATAGCCATGTAGGCTACTGAACCTTGCTATTGTTGGGCCCACATCAAAATTTATTCGCCCACAGATTATCACACCTTCTATTGAATATAAAAACAACAACCCCATTTTTCGTTTTTTTTTATCATGTGCTTCATGTTTCTTTTCTATCCGTTGTAACATTATGCACAACTTATCTAAATTTGAAGTGGAACTCTTCTGTTTATGAAGATTGATATGATCATTCAATATCATATATAGGGCACATGGCACATTTTCATTCACAAATAACATAGTAAAATTGCATCAATACAAGCAATAATTCAATACAAGTGACTTCAAATTAACCAAGATTTTGAATCAAAGAAGTAGTAAGAATTCTAGTCAGGGATTTATTTTGAGTTTACAACAAGCGATGAGTTCAATACAAGTTAAATAAGCTGTATGATAATTCTAATGTCAATTACTTTGTGGAAAGATGAAATACAACAGTACATAGGGGCTTAGTTCGAATTTTTAAGTGAGCATTAATTCCTGATTCTGCAAACAAAATACTTTCCCTATTTACAGGAGAGGTTAGGTAAATACCAAGTTGTTTTTAAAGTTGCCATAGAAACTGTTTTTCATTAAAATTGATTAAAATTAAATTTTTGTATTGTATAACATGTATCTGTTGTGTGTCTAATAGAAGAGACTTCTGGTTTTAATATACATTGCGTACAATATCGAAAATCGAGAATAATAATGGTATGGATTAATAACATATCATGCACAAAGTGATATGAATATTATATAAAGATGAAGAAATTCAACATGGTTGATCTTTCAAACTGCTTGAATTTTACTAAAAATCATGCAGTTTCGTAACCAAACTGATTGTAAACTCACACTTAGTAAGTTTTTCTTTTGGAATTTATCCACTATGTGTTGGGGTGTAAAAAAAAACCCAGGCATATTTCTAATTGTGTCTGCAAGGCCAAAACCTCTGCCCCATATTGGCCCTGAAATATCACTACATAGATTTTTTTTGTTTCTTTTTTTTAAATGGGGAAACATTCATTACAATTCCAATTGCAGAATAATGTGTAAAATTTCTAACTGCAGACACTCATCATGTTTTTCCACAAAAGTCTAATAGGAATATCACTGCATGCATGTTAAAGAATAATTCACAAAATGTTTATTGCAATTGCAGTGCAGAATATTTCTGAGAGTTTAAACTATGCATTTACGTTTTCTAACAGGAGCTATCCATCATGTTTTACCACAAAGTCTACATGAACCAGATCCATTCCAGTTCTCTTCTCTGTCAGCTAGCTTCTATGTGGAAAAACCAGGTTCTCTGTGATGCAGTCATAAAAGCTGGAAATAGTCACATTAAGGTCAGTATTAAATAAAATGAATGATTTGAAGATCAATGTATGTTAACAAAAAAATTTGTCATAAAAATCCAAACACAGTTAAAATTGTGAAAGTTTGAAATTAAGAACCTTATATATAATGCTGTCTGAAAAACAGCATTGGTTTTGATTCAGAAACATACACAGAGGCCACAAGAGGGTCATAAATTGAAAGATTTTCCTTAATTTCATAATGTTCATTAATTCTGATGAAATTTTGTCAAATTTGAAATACTTTTCAATTCGGAAAACACAACACAGTTTATCTGTAATTCTGTTGCATAAAATGTATGTGATTCTGAGTGCATGAGATACAGTATTATGTATATTTTGTAAAAAGGCTATAGCTTGCACAAAAAATGATGAAAATGTGAATAAATATGTGAAAATTTGTAAATTGATTACCTTCCTATGACCTATGTGTATGCTATCACCTAACTTCAGTGCTCATTGTTTATCTTACCTGAACAGTAGGTTCAAGTGAGCTTTTCTGATCACCTGTTGTCCATCATATGTCTGTAACTTTTTACACTTTCGACTTCCTCCACAGAAATACAGTAACCAGTTTCAACTAGACTTGCCACAAGGCATCTTTGGGTAAATGGAATTTCAATTTGTTCAAATGAAGGGCCACACCTTCTTGAAATCATTTCAAGAGGATGTTTCCCTTCATATCAAATGGGAGATGATTATAAAAAAAGCAAACATAGGGTGGGTATCTTAAAAAATCTTCTCAACAACCAGTGTACCAGTCTACCAGAGGAGATAAATTTAAGTGAAAGCTTCCTGACAGGGTATTTTTTTCAAGTAATGTTCTTTAGGGGAGAGGTTGTGAAGCCACTATGGGGGAAACAATTTTTACATGGGAATATGTATAAATGTAGGAAAAACTTTAAACAATATTTTGAAAATCAGCAAGTCTACAATTAGTCATATTAATATGAAAGCATCTTCAGGTAATGTAGATTTAAGTTTTTCAAATCAAGGTCCCAGGGGTATGATGGAGCCACAATAAGGAAAAAGTTTAACTTTGGATTTAAAAGGAAAAATCTTTGAAAATTGTCTTTTGGAAAAACAGCTCTGCCATGATGTCATAATTACATGGGAACATTCTCGGGTAGTGTAATTCAAGTTTGTTCAAATCAAGATCTCCAGGGGTATGGTTGGACCACAATCAAGGAACACAGTTTAATAACATTGGAATATATATATATATATATATATATATATATATATATATATATATATATATATATATATATATATATATATATATAGGAAAATAAATCTTTGGAAAACAGCTCTGCAATGATAAATCATAATAATATGGAAGCATCCTTAGGTAGTGTGGATTCAGTTTTTAGCTCTACTGGTCAGAGACCAGAAGAGCTTATGCGATAGTAAGGTGTCTGTCATCTGTCCGTCTGTCTGTAAACAATTTTTAGCTCACCTCGACGAAGTCGAGATGAGCTTATGCTATACCCCCGGCGTCAATGTCGGCGTTAGCGTCGGTGTCCCGGTTAAAGTTTTAGGAGCAAGTCCATTCCCAAGTAACTATAAGCCCTACCTGGACCAAACTTGCATGGATGATGCATCTAGGGATGGACACTACCACACTCGCTTCGGATGCTGGATCTGACCTAGATTTTCCAGTTGAGTGACCAGGTTAAAGTTTTTGGAGCAGGTCCATTCCCAAGTAACTATAAGCCCTACCTGTACCAAACTTGCATGGATGATGCATCTAGGAATGGACACTACCACACTTGCTTCAGATGCTGGATCTGACCTAGATTTTCCAGTTGAGTGACTAGGTAAAGATTTTGGAACAAGTCCATTCGCAAGTAATTATAAGCCCTACCTGTACCAAACTTGCATGGATGATGCATCTAGGGATGGACACTACCACACTTGCTTCGGATGTTGGATCTGACCTAGATTTTCCACATGAGTGAATTTTAGCCATATTTTAACCAAATTAGCATGGATGATGTAGCTAGGGATGGTCACTTCTAGACTTGCTTTGGATTCTGAATCTGACCTACATTTTCCAGATGAGTGACCAGGATAATTTTTTTGGAGTAGCTATATAACATTATGGCCAGTTATGATTAAACTTGCATAGATGGTGCATCTAAGGATGAAAACTTCCAGACTTACTTTGGATGTTGGAGCTGACCAAAATTTCTTGATTAGTAAACAGGATAAACTTTTTTTAACTGGTCTTTTTGCAAGTAACTATAAGTCGTACTTAAACCAAACTTGCATGGACATTGATCTTGGGATGTTCACTAAATAAAAAAATATGTGAAATTTGCCTTACTTAAAGATAACATTTGTTGAGGTGAGCTTCGTAATCTTTGATTACCTATGTTTCAAAATGCTACTCCTCCTACAGTTTTGGTCTGATTTCAATATAACTTGGCACACAAGTAGACTACACTAAGATACATAATTTAGTGCATCGGTTTTTGATTTCGATGTGTTGCCATGGTTACTAAAAATAGAAATTTCTGTGACATTCATTTAAAATGCTACTCCTCCTACAGTTTTGGTCTGATTTCATGATAACTTGGCACACGAGTAGACTACACTAAGATACAAAATCGGTTTTTGATTTCAATGAACGGTGTTGCCATGGTTACTAAAAATAGAAATTTCTGTGAAATTCCTTAAAAACACTTCTCCTACAGTTTTGGTCTGATTTTAATAAAGCTTGGCATACAAGTAGACTACACACACTAAGATACATAATTTAGTGCATCAGTTTTTGATTTCGATGAACGGTGTTGCCATGGTTACTAAAAATAGAAATTTCTGTGAAATTACTTTAAAATGCTACTCCTGCTACAGTTTTAGTCTGCTTTTAATATAATTTGGCGTACAAGAAGACTATACTGAGATACATAATTTAATGCATCGGTTTTTGATTTCGATGAACAGTGTTGCCATGGTTACTAAAGAAAGAAATTTCTGTGAAATCCCTTTAAAACGTTACTCCTCCTACAGTTTTGGTCTGATTTCAATCTAATTTGGCACAGAATTAGAATACACTACGATACATAATATGCATTTCGGTTTTTGATGTGGTTACTAAAAATAGAAATTTCTGTGAGATACTTTCAAAACGCTACTCCTCCTACAGTTTTCATTTGATTTCAATATAACTTGGCGCAGAAGTAGACTACATTAAGATACATAATTCTATTTATTAATGCATGTTACAAATCCAAGTGCTACTTTGTTATACGTACAGACCAGTAGAGCTACAGTCTCATCAGAGACTTCTGTTTTTTTTTTCAAATTAGGAACCCTTGGGGGGTAAGGTGGGTATCAATAGACAACTTTCACTTTTACAAAAGCTATTTCCATTTACAGGGTCAATCTGGGGTCAGCTGTCATAACCCTCTATAATATTATTAATTTTATGGGGAAGTGTCTTTCAGTTTCAAAGTATTGTATCATGAGCTCAACGTGTTTCCAACAATCCTCCAAAAGAGATTTCATTCTGTCTTTACTGTAATTGTCAGTCTACATGATCCATTGTGGAATACTGATCCCGATGTATTTTCATAGAGTTTGTGTGGTAACTGAATATCATACAGTTTCAAAGTACAGTATCATGAGCTCTTAAACATGTATAAATGCTAATTATCAAAATACTGACTTAAAATTCAAAAGTTAAATAAAACTGTCCAGATATTTTTTGCGAAGTAGGTCAGAGGTCAAGGTCAAGTGGATTGTAACACTGGTATTTTTCATATTGTCTTATGACAAACAGTGCACATGCCAAATAGCATAGACTTATCTCTTATATGTCAAAAATATGTTATATATTGGCATTATGAAGTATTTTGAAAAGTAGGACAAAGGTCATGGTCAAGGGTTGTGAGGTCAATAAACATGGTAATTTACAAAAGCCATAGTACCAAGCAATATATGTTCAAAATATCAAATCCATACCTTTTACAGTTCTCGAGATATAGGGTGTGACAGATGGACAGACAGACAGACGCAGGGTAAAGTGCTCTGCAGGCGACACAAAAATCAACAGGGCCATGGTTGGACATGTATATTTGCAAGCATCTTGAGGTAGTGCAGATTGAAATTCGTTTGAATTAGTGTCCTGGGAATTAGATGAGGGCCAGATAGGGGATAAATTTTCACATGGAAATATATCAGGAAAAAATTTTTCTCAAGAGCCACTGGGACATGACATGACTACTCATATTTCTTTTAATATGCAAGCATTCCAGTATAAGCAGATTCAAGTTGACCTAGTTCAAGTCAAGGTCCCTGGGACTAGGGTTTATTTTAAATATGGGAATTCAACGTTTTTGAGAAAAATATTAAGGAAATTGAAAAAAAAATCTTTTAGACATTACGGCCCCTGGGTTAAGGTGGGACTACAATCTGGGATCAAATTAACATAATGCTTATATACAGAGAATAAATTTTTTTTTACAGCAACAGCAAGGCCATGTTAGTCATTGATATTGAAGCATCCCCAGTTAATGTGATATTAAGATTAGTTAAGTAATGATCTTTCAGACAAGGGTGGGATTGATATAGGGTCAAAAATTTTTATGGATTAAGTGGTATAAAATTCTTTCCAAAATCTTAAGAAGATTAGTAGAGCCAAGGTTACTCAGGTGAGCATTATGACCCATGGATCTCTCTTTAAATTTTATTGTAACCCTGAAACTTCTCTGAAATAAATTATATAAGTATTGAATATGAGAGAAGTTACAGTTAAAAGTGTTTATTTTGGTACTTTTAATTGATAGGCACACAGGGTAGTGCTGGTTGCAGCATGCCCAATGCTACATTCCATGAAGAATGCTTCTGTAGGCTCAAACTTAGAGGTGAGACTGGCTGCAGATATTAAACCAGAAGCCATCAACACTTTTCTTCAATATCTGTATGAAGGCTTCATGATGCTGACAGAAGAAAACTGTAAGGATGTGGAAAAAATTGCACGGGTCCTTCAGGTTGATAGTGTTTTGAAGTGCTGTGCTGATTTCTACAAATGCTTACATACTGGTGAGAAATATGAGTATAGTTTCCATGACAATGTTGAATTCAGGCATGTCAGAGCATCAGACCTTCTAAAGGTTCATGATAGAAGTAAGAGAGCCTCTGATGTACAGCCAGCAAGCCCAGGAATTAAACGCCAACGAATTCAGAGCAGAGGGGGTTCTGATTCGCTCGGTGATTATGGAGCAAGTGACCTATGGGATAGAGTTCCGAGAGAGTGTTCAGGAAGTTCCTCCACAAGAACAACTCAGCCAGGGGTCATTGAGATATTGGAGGACAGTATAGAAATTGTACATTCAGATAAACCAGAGGATTCAGGAGGGACAAGAAGAGACAATCTTCAAGACAGAATGTCATTATCTGTAGCAAGTCAATTAAAATCAAGTAATGATGTACAGATCATTAATGTTTCCAGTGGAGCAGAGGCCCCGCAGCGGGTTTCAAACAGTTCAGACTCATCACGATTTTCATCTCATCCAACTTTCACTCATTCTCAGGGATCATCTAATACGAGTTTTCGGCATGATCCTATCTTCCCGAATCCAAGCAGTACTTCAAGTGCCAGGCTTCCCTCATCTCCCTCACCACATTCTAGAATGCCATCACCTTCATCAGCCTATCATCCTCAACAAAGAAACACTACAGCACATTCTCAACCAAAGCCATTTGCAGCAGGAAATGCCACACAGGCATCAAAAAGTTACAACACACCATCACCAGTTGAACAATTACGTCCTGGTTCTCAGGATCAGTCAAGAGTAACAGCAGGAGCAAGCACAGTGTCTTTTTCTTCACCATCTTCTTCACTAGGAGCTCCCCCTGTGTCCTCCCCATCCACCTCCACACAACCACCACAACCAGTTGCTTTATGGAGGAGTACCAGTTCAGATGCTGTAGCTTCAGGGCCACCACCAGTGACTCAGCTGACAGAGAAACCATTACTTCAACGGTAAGATAAGTGGCTTAGTACATTTATTATCTAGTTATAATGTAAACATTGAAAGGTTGGACTAGTGCATTGTAAGGCATAGTAAAAAATATGTATGTTTGTTTACGGTTACATGCTGAATTAAAATAGGGTCAGTAGGTAGGATTTTTATTTTATTTTATTGATTTTTTTTAATACACAAATTCACATAAATTGGTTGAAATGCAAAAGTTTTACCATTGTGTGGTGCTTTACTTTTGTTTGGGCTTGCCATATGGGTGATAGACACGAACACATTGATGTAGATATTAAACACGCCATTTTTTCTAGTACTTTCGATTTCAATTTCAAACACTTGACCGATTAAGATGCAGGTAAAAGTTAAACTGACCGGCGAGTGACTTCCAGATTTTTACGATGAAAAAAAATTTGGGTCAGCAATTAAATATAGGGTCGGTCGAGTAATCTTAAACAAACATTTTTATTATTACGCCTAAACATGGTAAACATACTTACAGACCAATTTTTTTACCGTACGGTTACCTGAGGAGGGGGAGTGGTCTTGGTAGTACTGGTGTTATTTACTTGGAGAGCCCCAATACTCAAGATGTCAAAAATTGCTATACACGTTGCATTACACAGGAAGGCCGGCTTTTGGTAATCAGGGTCAACATTGTGCATAATTTTGAGTAAAAATATATAAATTATGTACTTGAATATAAAATTTGTAGACTTAATGTTTTCATCAAAAAAAATTGAAAAGAAATATATTTTTTAGAAATCATAAAATTAAGAAAAAATTATGGGTGAAAACTACAAAGCAATCATATCAATATTTTAATCGTCAATTAACGAAATTATTATCAAATATTAAGTGTGGATATTGAAATAAAATGATTCCACTTATTGTGTGGGCATTTACCCCGATTAGAATATTATTTACTTTTCTGGCCAGCAGTGGTGTCAAAATATTCGCCATTTCCGAGGGTCCGTGTTTTCATGCCCTGTTTACAGATTTGGATTAAAGGAATCTTTCGTAATTCATGGCGTTAGATACAAGATACTTTATTTATTTTAGTGTAAATATCTTTTCTTATTTATTACATTGCATTTTGTTATAATTTTCAATGTTGGGGTCGATTGCTTCCAATTACGGCGAATTGAGTTTCTGTGTACTCAAGTGCAAGTTCGACAGGGGTATTACAGACATTCTTAAAATCCAGGCACAGGTTAAATAACAGGATCGAAAGAATTATCGGTCTGTGCTGCTACAGGAACGTCTTCCCTCTCCGGATCCCAGTCATTGAAGGAAGAGAGGGCTTGAAAGGCCGCTAATTTTTCTTCGAAAAGTCCTGCAGTTTTCTTATCGCTAACAAGTACAAAACAGCAGTGGAGATTGAAAAAAAGAAGTCAGTTTTTAATTATCTACTCTTAATTATTTTTTTAAAATAAAATAGCCAACCAATAAAACGGCGACATGATTTTTTTTAACCAGAGTGTACAAAGCGACCATTTACGCGGTACATGAAAGTGTTTGATGCGTGACCAGGTAATTACTTTCAAAACATGCAAACTCAGGTATCAGATATCAGGTAGCCCACGTAGCTAGCCTGTCAATCAAATCAGAAGCTATTGTTTTTTTTTAATGATTGACAAGCGGTATATTATTGATCTTGAATTAGGTAGATTTTGAGGGTGTTAACATAAAATTTGATGTTTAACGCCCTCAAATAATGAAAGACATCATGATTTGCTACATGTACTTGTAAGTAATTAAGATAATCATCACACTGCGCAACTCTTATACATAATGTTTTGTAAATTTATGTGAATGTTTTCAACCTTTGCTAATAGCTTATACTTATGTTTCTATGAAATGACTTATCACTCCATAGAAACCATACCGAAATTAACATAGAAAATAAAAACAACCATTATTTACCATGGACTAGCTTGTACAATCATCCGTGGCATGAGTATCTTGTTATATCCGATTGCTCTTTTCACTAATCGGGACAGATATTGACTTTGTTATTAAAAGAATCTTGTTGTAAGCAATCTCGCTATATTTGTCTTTTTTATAAAGGAAATAAATATGAAATTATTTAGGACTCAAAACTCATCTCTTTGTAAGCAGTGCCTCGTTGTATCTGATCTCGTGATACCTGGAGGCCACTGTATGCAGTTGTTTGCTGCAGTTCAAACAGCTTCTGTATACATGTGAATGACCAGGAGCCCAAGCTAATTTTCGAGTAAAGGAAAAAGAGATTGTTTTAATGTGAATAGATATGAATATTGAATAGAAAATATAATTTTAAATCATTTGATTTATTTTTATTTTATTGGTGAAATTGGGTACTCTAGCTGAGAAGTTTCGCAACTTTTTTTCATACCCCCAGTTAATCAGTCAGACTAAAGTGATCTAAAGGCCTGTGAGTTTTTTTAACCTCATGACCTTGACCTTTGAGTTTGACCTACAATTGAAGAAAACTTTGCCTATAACTTTTGAATGGTTGGTGCTAGGGCTTTCATATTTGACTTGTGTATTCCTAATGACAAGACCTTTCCTTTAATACTATTTTTTTAACCTCATGACCTCGACCTTGAAGTATGATATATTTTTTAAAATCTTTGACCTTGGCCATAATTTCTGAATGGTTGATTTTTACATATGTATGCCTTGTGATGAGACCTTTCTTTGGGTACTAACATTTTTTAGCTCACCTGAGCCAAAGGCTCAAGTGAGCTTTTCTGATCAAAAATTGTCCATTGGCTGTCATTGTTGTCATTGGTGTCGTAAACTTTTCACATTTTTGAATTCCTCTCAATTTCAACCAAACTTGCCACAAAGCATCCTTTGGTAAAGGGGATTCAAGTTTTTTCACATGAAGGGCCAAAAATAGTCCATATTATTTGTGAAGACACAAGATTGTTCATATCCTGACCCCTAGGATTAATGTGGTGCCACAATAGAGGGTCAAAATTAAATATTATATAAAACTATGATATTAAAAACCTAATGTAAAACAACAGGGTCATAACTAGACTTGATAATAATAAGCAACTCTATGTAGTGTAGAATCTGGTGTTTTCATGGCTACAGAAGGAAGTTATAGTTATAATGTGGAGAAAAATTTTTTCAAGTCATCTTTTTTGAGAGCAAAACTGCAATGCTTCCCTGTGTATTGTACATTCAAGTTCATTCAAAGCATAGCCCCAGTGATTAAGTTTGGGCCACAGTTTGGTAATGAAACTTTACGCAAAAACATGTAAACATCCACACTGATAAGGCTACAAATAGTAAAGTTAAAAATCAAACTTCAGTATTCTGCGAAAAAAAATTAGGCTGCATGTGGAGATGATAAGATTTTATTTATGTACATGTATATTAATTTGTATGAAAGAAAATGCTGACTCAGGTGAGCAGTGTTGCCCATGAGCCTTTTGTTTAATTATCAGGTCAGAGAGCACACCTGCCACAACTGGTGCAGATATATCCATAGTTAAAGTGGAAAGTGAGGTGACATTTGATGAACAGTTCCATGGTGATGACCCAAATATTACTTTTGACCCAGATGACCAATCAGGAGACTGGAACAGAGAAGACACTTCAAATGAAGAAAGCAATGCAAGTGAAGATAAGATGCCTCAGTGGATGGCAGAGAGTATGAAAGGTAAATGAGCTTTCCAACTCTCTGTTTAACAAACTCGGGGAAACAGGTTAGCTTGAAACAATACTTACTATACAGGTCAAATTCATATATAGTATAAATGCAGGGTTACCACATACATGTATAAGAGTAAAAAAAAAATCCAAAATATAACAATTTTTGCCAGTTGTATACAAAAATTTAAAGCTAAACTGTTGAATAACTTCTCTACAACTCAACTGAAAATTTGAGAAATTGAAAAATTCTGTGAGTTGGAACATAAGAGGTCTTTATTTTATTAATAAATTCAAACAGTAGAGGGCAATGTCATTTTTTTTTTTTATTTTCTCATGGTAGAAGGCTGATTTGTGTGTTACACTGTGGAATAATTTAAAGTCATGATGGCCACTTATTTTGGAATGTTAAAACAAAATTACAGGTTTGTGGAGATGTCATTTGATGGTTGATAGTCTTGTTATGAAGAGGTTACCAATATTTTCCATTTACTGTTTGGGAATTTGGAAATTATCCTAAGCTTCTTTGATTGATCTCTGCCCTTTCCCCTTGATATCAGTGTCAAATGGAACTGGCTTATAAAGGCTAGATGTTGTTTGTGTATCACTCTGTAATATCTGCTTTGTCATCACAAAATTTTGTTCTAGGTAGATGGATAGTAGTTGGGCTAAAGTGGAATGCATAGACAATTAAATATCATGATTGGGGAAAAATTTAAACATCTAATTTAACAAGATAAGTTGGCAAAAAATTTTAGTACAAGAAGAAGGTGCAAGATGTTTTAAGGCCTGATATCCTCAATTTCTCTATTTTATGATTTATTATTATACTTATTCTATTTTTTTACGGGGGGATATTAAACACATTGTAAATTTGTGTTAAAAGAATGATTTATTAAACAAAGCAAATGAAAAATCACTAGACCTAAAATGTTAACAGTAATGAGAGGAGAGGGTTCTGTCAATAAACAAACAGATGAACACAATTTGACATGCAGAACATTCAGACAGACACAGTATGACAGGAAGGGCAATCAGACAGACAAAGTGTGACATAGAAGATATTCAGACAGACACAGTATGACAGGAAGGGCATTCAGACAGACACAGTGTGACAGAGAGGGCATTCAGACAGACACAGTATGACAGGAAGGGCATTCAGACAGACACAATGTGAAAGAGGAGGGCATTCAGACAGATGCAGTGTGACAGGAGGGCATTCAGACAGACACAGTGTGACAGGGAGGGCATTCAGAAAGACACAGTGTGACAGAGAGGGCATTCAGACAGACACAGTGTGACAGGGAGGGCATTCAGACAGACACAGTGTAACAGGCAGAACATTCAAATAGACACAGTGTAACAGGCAGAACATTCAAACAAAGTCAGTAACTGAGGGGCCATTCAGACAGACATTTTGTGACAGATACTGTCTGATAGAGAGGGTATTAAGACAGAAACAGAGTGACAGGGAGGGCATTCAGACAGATACTGTCTGAAAGAGAGGGTATTCAGACAGACACAGTGTGACAGAGAGGACATTCAAACAGACAATGAGTGACAGGGGGAGGAGGGGCATTCAAACAGACAAAGAGTGACAGGGAGGGCATTCAAACAGACACAGTGTGACAGGAAGGGCATTCAGAGAGACACAGTGTGACAGGGAGGGTATTCAGACAGACACAGTGACAGGGAGGGCATTCAGACAGATACTGTCTGATAGAGAGGGTATTCAGACAGACACAGAGTGACAGGGAGGGCATTCAGACAGATACTGTCTGATAGAGAGGGTATTCAGACAGACTCAGAGTGACAAGTAGGGCATTCAGACAGATACTGTCTGACAGAGAGGGCATTCAGACAGACACAGTGTGACTGGAATGTCAGGGGCTTAGATGGAGATCACAATATGTTCAAAATTGTTCATGGTAATAAGAAGGGAATTTTTTATTAATCTTCAGAACAGCAGGGCCAAGGTGATTCCGGTGAACATGGTTGCTTATGGGTTGCATGTTTAGCTCACCTGAGCTGAAAGCTCAAGTGAGCTTTTCTGATCACCCGTTGTCCGTCGTCTTTCTGTCTGTCTGTTTGACCATCTGTAAACTTTTCACATTTTCAACTTCTTCTCAAGAACCACTGGGCCAATTTTAACCAAACTTGGTACAAAGCATCCTTGGGTGAAGGGGAGTTTAAATTGTTAAAATGAAGGGCCAAGTCCCCTTCAAAGGGAAGATAATCAAGAAAATACAAAAATTGGGTGGGGTCATCAAAAAATCTTCTTCTCAAGAACCACTGGGCCAGAAAAGCTGAAACTTATGTGGAAGCATCCTGGGGTAGTGTAGGTTCTAAATTGTTCAAAGCATGACCCCTGAGGGTAGGGCAGGGCCACAATAGGGAATCCAAGTTTTACATTGAAATATGTTGTAAAAATCTTTAAAAATCTTCTTCTCAAGAACCACTGGGCCAGAAAAGCTGAAACTTATGTGGAAGCATTCTAGGTTAGTGTAGATTCTAAATTGTTCAAATCATGACCCCCAGGGGTGGGGCGGGGCCACAATAGGGAATCCAAGTTTGAAATTGAAATATGTAGTAAAAATCTTAAAAAATCTTCTTTTCAAGAACCACTGGGCCAGAAAGGCTGAAAGTTATGTGGAAGCATCCTTGGGTAGTGTAGAATCTAAGTTGATCAAATTATGACCCCCAGGGGTGGGGGTGGGGGGCACAATATGGAATCCAAGTTTTACATTGAAATATATAATAAAAATCTTAAAAAATCTTCTTCTCAAGAACCACTGAGCCAGAAAGGCTGAAATTAATGTGGAAGCATCCTTGAGTAGTGTAGATTTTAAGTTGTTCAAATCATGACCCCCGGGGGTAGGATGGTTCCACAATAGGGAATCCAAGTTTGAAATTGAAATATGTAGTAAAGATCTTAAAAAATCTTCTTTTCAAGAACCACTGGACCAGAAAGGCTGAAACTTATGTGGAAGCATCCTGGGGTAGTGTAGATTCTAAATTGATCAAATTATGACCCCTGGGGGGGGGGGGGCACAATAGGGAATCAAAGTTTTACATTGAAATATGTTGTAAAAATCTTTAAAAATCTTCTTTTCAAGAACCACTGGGCCAGAAAAGCTGAAACTTATGTGGAAGCATCCTTGGGAAGTGTAGATTCTAAATTGATCAATTTATGACCCCTGGGGGTAGGGCGGGGCCACAATAGGGAATCCAAGTTTTACATTGAAATATATAGTAAAAATCATCTTCTCAAGAACCACTGGACCAGAAAGGCTTAAACTTATGTGGAAGCATTCTAGGGTAGTGTAGATTCTAAATTGTTCAAATCATGATCCCCAGGGGTAGGGAGGGGCCACAATAGGGAATCCAAGTTTTAAATTGAAATATGTAGTAAAAATCTTTAAAAAATCTTCTTTTCAAGAACCACTGGGCCAGAAAGGCTGAAAGTTACGTGGAAGCATCCTTGGGTAGTGTAGATTCTAAATTGATCAAATTATGACTCCTGGGGTGGGGGGCACAATATGGAATCCAAGTTTTACATTGAAATATGTAATAAAAATCTTTAAAAATCTTCTTCTCAAGAACCACTGAGCCAGAAAGGCTGAAATTTATGTGGAAGCATCCTTGAGTAGTGTAGATTTTAAATTGTTCAAATCATGACCCCCGGGGGTAGGATGGTTCCACAATAGGGAATCCAAGTTTGAAATTGAAATATGTAGTAAAAATCTTAAAAAATCTTCTTTTCAAGAACCACTGGGCCAGAAAGGCTGAAACTTACATGGAAGTAACATTGGGTAGTGTAGATTTTAAATTGTTCAAATCATGACCCCCGGGGGTAGGATGGTTCCACAATAGGGAATCAAAGTTTTACATTGAAATATGTAGTAAAAATCTTAAAAAATCTTCTTTTCAAGAACCACTGGGCCAGAAAAGCTGAAACTTATGTGGAAGCATCCTTGGGAAGTGTAGATTCTAAATTGATCAATTTATGACCCCTGGGGGTAGGGCGGGGCCACAATAGGGAATCCAAGTTTTACATTGAAATATATAGTAAAAATCATCTTCTCAAGAACCACTGGACCAGAAAGGCTTAAACTTATGTGGAAGCATTCTAGGGTAGTGTAGATTCTAAATTGTTCAAATCATGATCCCCAGGGGTAGGGAGGGGCCACAATAGGGAATCCAAGTTTTAAATTGAAATATGTAGTAAAAATCTTTAAAAAATCTTCTTTTCAAGAACCACTGGGCCAGAAAGGCTGAAAGTTACGTGGAAGCATCCTTGGGTAGTGTAGATTCTAAATTGATCAAATTATGACTCCTGGGGTGGGGGGCACAATATGGAATCCAAGTTTTACATTGAAATATGTAATAAAAATCTTTAAAAATCTTCTTCTCAAGAACCACTGAGCCAGAAAGGCTGAAATTTATGTGGAAGCATCCTTGAGTAGTGTAGATTTTAAATTGTTCAAATCATGACCCCCGGGGGTAGGATGGTTCCACAATAGGGAATCCAAGTTTGAAATTGAAATATGTAGTAAAAATCTTAAAAAATCTTCTTTTCAAGAACCACTGGGCCAGAAAGGCTGAAACTTACATGGAAGTAACATTGGGTAGTGTAGATTTTAAATTGTTCAAATCATGACCCCCGGGGGTAGGATGGTTCCACAATAGGGAATCAAAGTTTTACATTGAAATATGTAGTAAAAATCTTAAAAAATCTTCTTTTCAAGAACCACTGGGCCAGAAAAGCTGAAACTTATGTGGAAGCATCCTTGGGAAGTGTAGATTCTAAATTGATCAAATTATGACCCCTGGGGGTAGGGCGGGGCCACAATAGGGAATCCAAGTTTTACATTGAAATATATAGTAAAAATCATCTTCTCAAGAACCACTGGACCAGAAAGGCTGAAACTTACGTGGAAGCATTCTAGGGTAGTGTAGATTCTAAATTGTTCAAATCATGACCCCCAGGGGTAGGGCGGGGCCACAATA